CACCTCCACTGGACCACCAGGGATGGAAACAGCATCTACACACAGCACACAAACCCTTACACACACACTAACAGCACCCTCACACACATAGCATCCTTACACACAGCACCCTCACACATACACACAGCACCCTTACACACACGCACACTAACAGCACCCTCACACACACAGCACCCTTACACACACGCACACTAACAGCACCCTTACACACACACACATACAGCGCCCTTACATACACAGCGCCCTTACACACACAGCACCTTCACACACACAGTGCCCCCCCCACACACACACAGCAGTATATGTAATCTAATTATCAGTATATATATACACACACACATACACACACACACACACACGCAGTGTGTGTGTTTGTGCTTTAGGGTGCACACCCTTATACAATAGGCTGCGCATGCCTATGGCACAGTATAAGTAATGTATAATAAAAAAAAAAAGCACAGTGCTAGTGATGTATAATATAAAGCACAGTAGTAGTGAGGTATAATAATACATAGTAAATATAACGTAAATTATAACTACTGTACATTATATTTACTATATTTCTTATACCTCACTGTAGCAGAATGAACACCTATTATACACTTTTCATTCCCTTTGTTCGGCTGTCCGTACCCTTCCGTTCGTTTACCGAACCTCCAACTGTATGGTCCATGGGTTCGCGTATGTTAGCAACCGACCACCCTTGGCTGTTAACCTGCAAATTGCTTATTAAGTGTTTCCCCTGTGTGGCCGCCGTTTGTATTGCTGAAACACGTGTGCAAACAAAAGGCGGCCATTTTGTCTCTCAAACGTGGGCAGCGGTACGTACTACTACTTATATTTTGACAAAGTGGGCACTCAGATCCCAGCTATTCGGCGATGTGACTTTTATGGGGTTCTGAAATATTAAAAAGTGTTTTATGATGTTTGTAAAGATTGTATATTTTCTGTGCTTGAGAGATAATTTAATTAAAGAGTTGCTCTTACTCAATTATCTCTCAGGCACAAAGGAGAAGTTTGTGAAATGTTGACTTGTCACTGTCCCCTCTCAGGTCCCTTTGGGGTTTGCATTTAATCCTTACTTTTTATTTTATATTCTGTACTTGTTTTACTGCTGTTACACACTCGAATACCAGGAGGTCCCTGAGGAAGTCCATTTGGACGAAACGCGTAGGACCTGGTACCATAACAGGTAAAAAAAAAATTTTATATATACACACACACACACACACACACACACACACACACACACACACACACACAATTCTACTCCATACTCTGAGTTTAACTTCATTTTCCTGTGAATAGAAACAGAAATTCCGCCCCCCACCTACATCAGGAGAGGTACCCTTGGGCGTCATCCATCCTGTGAGTTATATCTAACACAGCACACTTGCTCCCTAATATACAGTGTTACACGATTGTTTGTTTTATATTTTGTTTGTGGATCCACAGCTGTATCCTAGTTTTTTTATATACCTATTCCCTTTGGGGAATGCCCCTGTAAAATGATTCAATAGACCCCTTGCATGGGGAACTGCATAAAAGCCAGCTGTGGCTGAATAAAAACCAGTTGACTCCTAGAACTGTGTTGTCCAGTTACTGGGGGGATTTTGCCTTGGATATTTTATTGCTACCTCAGCTACAATGATTATACAGCGGATATACCTATGCTGGGTATTGGGGCTCCGCTACATTCACTATTACTGTACATTATATTTACTATATTATTCCTCACTATTACTGTACGTTATATTTACTATATTATTCCTCACTATTACTGTACGTTATATTTACTATATTATACCACACTATTACTGTACATTATATTTACTATATTATTCCTCTCTATTACTGTACGTTATATTTACTATATTATTCCTCACTATTACTGTACGTTATATTTACTATATTATTCCTCACTATTACTGTACATTATATTTACTATATTATTCCTCTCTATTACTGTACATTATATTTACTATATTATTCCTCACTATTACTGTACGTTAT